CACGAGACCCACCCCACCCGAGCCCTAATTACCCCAACCACCCTCCATTACATTCAAGCGACTCAGCATTCAACTTAGTGAATACCGAGTGTAGATTTTAACTTATAATCCTGTTGACATATACTAAATGCTAATTTACAAGTCTGTGACGTATAATACTAATTTATATAAAAAATAATCATATTCGAGGCAAAAACTAAATTGATCGTCTTTTAAGAATAGCCATGCAAGTAAGATAGCGTTCATATTTAATTCAATTCTTCGATACAAATGTAATTGTGTTATTCACCTATTTCTCTAGTTTAACCATTTCATCGAGCCGACGAAGAGAACAGTAACAGAAATAAGTTTCCCCGAATTCGTAGCCGAAGAAATACAATGTCTATTCATATACCTCGTCTCGTCAAACCCATCCGTTAAAACAAAATTCGCCTGTTTGATCGGAGGTCGGTTATTACCAGTGGAACGCGATCGAATCGGCAAATTTGACCGCAGTGATCGACCGTGCGACCGATCGGCCACGTCCTTTGGAGGAGTATAATTGAAAGAAGTATTTCGACTAACGCTTTCGACTACGATCGTGACGAATCCGCATCGCGGGGAGGAATGAATATTGTCGCTGGCCAACCGCCGGCGAACGTTTTTCGACAAGGCGTGCAAGTGACAAGTGCGCTCTCCGGCATTTGCGGTAGGCGATCTTCCGATACGCAGCGGTCCGATGCACAGTTGGTCGATTATTTTTGTTTTTTCACTTTTTTCCCTTCTCCCCGCGGGTTATTGCTCGGATATCTGTTGAAAGCTGGCTGGCTGGCTGGCTGGCTGGCTGGCTGGTTTCGCTCGCTCGGTGGCACGCGCGACCGATTTCACGCAAAGCGGCTTTCCGTGGCGCGCAATTTGACGGGCATTAAATCCTCCAGGGCGAGACTTCGTGGCGCTGATGAGATCCCGCCGCGTTCATCTTTATTAATGGACAGATCGGCGATAATGCGCGTTACCGTCGCGCCGCGACTATCCGTTACACGAGCGACGCGCCGCGCGCGCCGTCCTGCTCGATCGACATCGAGCTGTAGATTGGTTTATTGATTGACCGAACGAGGTATCTTCCGACCGCCAGTGATTTAAGCTCGTTTATGGATCGCGCTCACCTGGTCTATGGCGTTAAGTTGTTGCTGTAACGTGCTGTAACGCGCACCGGATCTTCGCCTTATGCGGCGATGGAACTTTGCCTCTCTCTCGCGCGCTCTCGATTTTCGAAGGTTTGTGTTTCGGTTTAACGCTCGACACCGATTGTAAGTTGGGCGTTTATAACGGGTTGTTTGAGTTTATGGTGGTAATGTCGAGTCGAGTCTCGCGGATCGAAGCTAAACTGATCGAGTCTGTTTTATCTGTTTAACTATGGATAGTAATTTCCTCGAAAAATTTGTAAAATTAACGTTTCTAACTATTATTGTTATTTTTTTTTTTTTTACTTTTCTCTTTAGGGAGTTGATCGGCATGTTTCTTGAGTTGAATGAAGGAAATAAATAATAATCGCTGGAAGTCTGTTGACTGTTCTTATTATTATTATATATAGTTATGACTTTTATTATATTATATATATTATATATTTTATACATAGATCGAAGGGTGAATTTCCAGTTAATGGACCAGCATTGTCCATTAAATTTAGTTTAATTGCTAAAGTATTATATTTATAGTAGAAATTGTCAATCTTCACGAATAATCAGAGTAGAAACTTTTATAACAGTTAAAAGAAAAATTCTCCGAAATTAAAATGTGTCGAAAAGGAAAGGAATTTTTGAACACGAGTAGCAGGCAAATTGTTTACGCTATATTGTCACGCTGATTTAGGTGACAAACAAATTGCACGCGTGTTTAATTTGGGAAACGAGCCTGTGATTTCGAGTTTTCCCACGACTCTTCAAGTTTTCCAGAGTTTGCGACACGTCAGTCACTGTTGAGAAGTACGAAGAAACTCTAAGTCCTTCAAGTCCTAATTAGAATGCGTAGTTGGCAAACTACGTAACACATACAAATCTCTGCTGCATGCCTTTTTTTTATAATTGCTGCAAAATAAAAATCGTGCAATGCATTTCAACGCATAAACGAAATTAACTGTTACTGATTATAGATCGATTTTCTATAAAAATGTAGCTTTCACAGCTACAATTGTTTTATTCTCGACATTAATTTTCAAGGTGTCTAAAATATTATTCGCTTCGACAACTTAATTTATTGAAATTAAAGAACAAAAGTAATTGAAAAAATAAACTATTGTAAAGGGTCAATTTGATACACTTTCGTTAATTGTGCGTCAGAATTCTAACATGAAATTATTCATTAACCTACTGATAAATTATTGTAACCATCAAATTTTACACAATTCACTTGTGCTGCGTGATGAAATCGATGATGATGATGATGAATACGATAGATGATGAAAGCAAAACGGAATCGCGAGGGATGAAAAAGGATATTCATTTGAGATTAGCTGTTAGCGTCCTGTTTCGTGCGTGAGTACTAAAGATACTGTTTAATGCTATTACTTCGGCGTACGTAACAACCACATCGGTGAAGCGGATTTCAAACGAGCTTATCAAATCAATGGATACGATAGCAGATTAACGTAGACTGGTTCAATCAAAAGCTCTTATCGATATCCTGTGGTAGGTGTAATAGGATTACAATGCTACGTTGACGTGGAAGCATTCTTCCTTTGCCGAACTGTATGACGCGAAACTCGTTCAAAGTGTTACTTCTCGAATCAGTGGCTTTTGTCTCCCGGTGAAACAATGCGTCAAACAGACAATGTGATAACGCGTTTTCCAAACGTGAGCCCTTGGTACAATTCTTAAATAAAATCAATTCCAATGGTAAATTCTAGCGAAAGGTAATTTTGATAATAAAGTACAAAAATTCTAATAACTTCTAATGAAATACAATAAAATTTTCTTCTTTTCGTGTTGCAACATATATATTGTATATTTTGTAAAATGAATACGTGGCAGGAGCAAGAAATACTTTTAATTTATTAAATATGATGGCATTTTTGTAAATGTCGTTGAGATCTATCGATTCTTGTTGAAACAACTCGAACAGAATCAATAATCGATCGAACATGTTACGTCTTCTCATTCTGATCGAATTTTCATTCATCACCAATTTGCAAGTTTCACCCAGCAAGTAGGTTACGTTTTAATGCTTCGGCAAAGGAATTTTATTTTATTCATCAAGCCAGCAAATTGGACTTCGAAGACCGTGAAATTCAATTGCATTCCGCCCTACGAACAAATATTTGTCATGGAAGCAAGTCTTTGCGAATGCTGATTTCTCTTCTCGGGGTTAAATTTTGTTTAAACTTCGTTTTATCTTTTATTTAACGATTGAAGATCCAAACGGTGGATTAGGTTGGACATCGGAATTTATTAAACAAAAAGATTCTTAATCATAGTACATATATATAGCTTTGTGTTATGTCATTCTTTCGCCATAAAGGAACTTACGAAGAATTTACAAAAGTAGAGTTCGTACAGTTGATCATTTCACTATTCGACATTATTAAAGACAATATACAACAGCGAAAATTAGGATAGGATAGTTTAAATTTATAAACGCAAGTTGTCGTTCGTAAACCGCGAGTATGCCAAAGGAAGAAACTTCTGATCGCTACAAATTCTAATGCTTGAAGGTTCCGTACAGTGTACGCTAACAATAAGTACGAAGCTCCGAGTTTCAAATTTGTGGATGAACCTTCGTCAGAGCCTGCGTTAAACTAATGGTGCACTAACCTAACATTAATCAACTAACAGTGTATCGTACGTAATGGCGAATTTATGTGAAACTGATAGGAATATGTCAGTCCATAGATCTGCGTTTGGAACATTGGCTGCGAGATCTACAAGGCTATTTTTGATCTCCATCTTTCACTCTGCAAATTAACAGTAGAATTCGAACGCCGCTGTTTCACATATCGCTTTAATAAATATTCATATCGTGAAATTCCATGGAAAATTGATGGTCGAACATTATATAGTTTAATTCCTAATGGCGTGGATCCCGAAGAATTCGATATTTCGAATATTCAGGATTTCACGAAGATAGATTCAACGGTTGGATATAATATAGTTTTATTACAGGTTCCATTTATGTAATTTTCAATTGTAATACGATTCTATAAGATCGTTTATGTTAAATCCTTTTTATTAATTCTTCGATGATGGAATATGGAAAGGAAATGTTCAAAATAGAAAATTCGTTATTAAATTCGAATGTTTATTGTACTTCAGACGATTCTATCATGTCCAATTATAGAAAGAGCAAGATACTCTCAGTTATCTAAAAAAAAAAATCCAGCTTGCCACGGTGTCTTTTCTCTAGCCTTTTCTCTTATTTATAAATAGTTAAATTAATACAGAATACAATTCACTGTGACATTCAGTTGCTTTATATTCGATCAACACAACAATGAACTAAAAAAACATTTCCAATTCCAATAACTGGTGTGCCAATGTTAAATCTCACGCGCAAGATACACTACAAATAACACGTAAATTATGAAATAAAGTTTTTAATAAAAGTTTTTTTCTCAAACAAAAATATTCGAAGATCAGCGTCCAATTTTTCAACACTCGAGACTTCGTGTACGATGCCTTCGTCGGTGATCAATACTTTCGATCCAAGAATTATAATTCGAACAGCTTCAAATCAGACACCCTGTTTATGTACGGAAGCTTCCATAAAATCATTCCCATAAAACTTGAGGAAATTACAGTCCACGATCGGACGTGAAACCGCGGACCAGAAACCCTTAATCACCCGGCTCGAAGTACAAATCGTCGGCCCCAATCGCGAAACAACATCTACCACCGGTTCGACTCGCGAGAGCCCAGTGATATTTCTTCGAGAGTTGCGGCCGTTTGATCGGCGAGCACGCTGTAAATCCCGCGTCAACAGTCAAGAACATGACATCTCTTAACGCCGGCGAATTCTTGTTTTTCCAGGGATCGATCGATCGCCGACGATGCGTAGACCGAGCAACAGACGGGACTCGAAGAAGATGTGGAAGATGGAGCACAGCCACGAGAGGAACGCGACGGGCATGAGGGACGAGCCAATGTCGAAAGGCGTGGAGAACGATGACGAGCAGATTGATTTTCAATCGGCCGCCGATTCCTCTCACCGTCACTACCGTTTGTTCTCGAGTCTCGGTATCACTGCGATCACTGCCATTCTGGCCGGTTGTTTGTCAACGTAGGCCATTCTATGACGATCGTTGCGCCTGAAACTGATCGATTTCGCGATCGGATCGAATCTTCAAAGGGGTACTAGCTGAATCGAGATCGATATTGTAATTGTGCATCGAGGACCAGCCGGTTGAATGTTTCTCGGACGTGTTGCTGTCCGTGTGTCGAAAAGTGTCTTCGTACGTCAAGATTATTCAGAACGAAGCGGACGCTTGGGACAGTGCGCACTCCTTTTTCTTTCGAGGAGGTTCCCTTCTTCTTTTTTTTTCCCGTTTTTTGGCGGAGGTTGAGCCTTTAGCTGCGAGAGAGGAACGTGTCAGAGATGCTGTTGCGTGTTTTTCACGGACGTGTAGTATCGAGGAGAAGATTGGATTTGTTTCGGGGATTTTTATTTTTCGAGACGGTAAGAATTTTTCATTGATTTTATTTTATTTGTTATTTTAATTGCTCTTCAATTTCTTTTATGATTTTAATTGTTTCCTGTTTCTTTGCAACGATATGCAATGATCTTATGATTCACGAAAGTATTCGAGCAATAAGTATGAAACACTTTTGTGTTCATGTCTTATGAAACATCGTGATTATATTGGTATTTTTTAATTCGAGGCCAATCTGAAAATGAATATAGAAATCACGATATATTTATCGTAAACACATTCTTAGTAAAGAATTAGCACACAGCCATAAGTGTCAAACATGATCTTACCGAATATTAAAGTTTATCAATGCAATGAACTTTTTTCTTGTACTAAGTATCTTGTAAATTTTGATACATCAATTTCAAGATGTTTCGTGTAACATCATTCGTAAAATGTGTTTAAAAGCGCTCCAATACTTTTGTGAGCCTGTGTTCACTACAATGAATGAAACGATGTTGAATGATTTAAAATATAACTTGACGAGGTAAGCTAACTCCTCTTCAATTCAAAAATACCACCATCTTTGTTCCACTGAAGATTCATTAAAATAATAATAGCAGTATAATATAAAAATTATATCATAACAATATAAAAAATTATTCGTGAAAAATTCTTGTGAACATTACGGCAGCTGAAAGATTAGGGATAGTTTTGTCGGTGCCTGCTACGTTTTTTCTTCCATATTTTACAACATGCAGCAGCCTCGGTATACATCTTTCTTACGTTGGATTGTTTAACGTAATTACGTAACAGACTTGTCAATCTACATATTTGGAAATTTTGTTACAATGAAAAAACAAATATCGGTGATAACAAATTTTCTATACAGATTCGATTCTTGGTTCGAAAACATCCCCCCCCCCTCCTCAAAAAAAAAACGCCTTGAAAGTTGCTAATTTTCTATCCTTTGTTTCGTAAGGCCTAGTCGGACGAATATTCAATCTGACATTTTGCTGTAATTTATAATAGCGTTCAAAAGTAACGTGTGATACAAAATTTTTGAGAAAAGAGCTTTCTCGAAGACTGTCTTCGTCCCTGTGTTAGCATTTGATCAATGTTTACGTAGCGTTCGTTGATTTTAAGAATAGAGATATTTGTGCCGTTCGTATTACTCTGAACGTTTTGTATGTTTCTATTGTATAAAGAGAAAAACACCGACACGAAGTGAGTGTCTTCTCGCGAGTATGCAACGCTTGTACCTAACCTACATATACATATGTATGTAAATATCAGTTTCGTGACGTAGCGACATGCCTTTGCTTTACGACAATAATTTTTTCGATTATTGTATTACGAACATAGCCTATTATTTGTAACACGCAACATTTGTAAAATTCATACCTGAATTCGTAACGTCACATTCTCGTCGCATTATAGCATCGCGTTGGCATTGTTCATGTCGTACTATTAAGCAAAACGAAATATTTAGGGAGACAAAATGTTCTAGATCATTCGATTAATTTATTTGTTTATATGGCTCGTTTTTTTTTCTGTTGCTTAGTTTGATTTCTTTCATAAAATTCAATTTTAAAACGTGAAAAGATAATTACAATTGGTAATACACATGATTTTCTTTGATTAATTATTTAAAAATTTCCTTAACTTGGTAGGAATAATTTTCATTACTAAAATTACTTGAATTATTAAAATTGCATACTTCCGTTAGTTTCGAATTCAATTCACATACAAACATGAAATTATCGAGATCCAATTTATTCAGAACAATTATCAGAACGCTATTGGAATTTTGATAAGAACGTTATCAATGTTCAAAACAAAGTACACAACATGTCACATGGTGTAATTTATTAGTTGTAAGAGTTGACACAGTTTTAACGCAAAATTTGATTCATGTAATATACAGAGTGGTAATGTGATTCTGAAGTAGATGGCTGACTTATGACGGTGCATACCACTTGCATTAGACAGACACGTTTAATTTAAAGTTTGCTTTAAAGCTACTGATATTTCAACGATATCACGATCCACTGAATAGATTTAGAATCAGTAATACGATTAAATCAGGTGCAATAATCGTTAATAATTATGACAATCTTTCATTCATATCAAAGATCACTCAAATTTCGTATAATTTCGAATAGTCTTATAATTTCCAATTTAACAATGACAATTATCATGTAATAACTCCAAACTTACCTTTTCTGTCGTGTCAGGAGATTATATCCCAGATAACGAAGCATTTCTACGGTTATATATTACACATAAACACACACACACACACACGTATACACATGCGCGACAAGTGTTCATCCATTCGAAAGATAAGCAACTAACACAATTGCGAAACTCGTCCAGCTAGTTCAGAAACACCGTTCGTTCTCAATATTCGTATACTTACATTTTCGTAGCGAGTACAAGTGTAAATGAGTTTGCGAGGGAAACTACGGTCTCGCTACCTTCCAACGGTTTCGTCGTTCCATAAATGCGTTCGCAAGTTCTGTACTCGATAGTTAACGATAAGATTAACCAAACTAGTGCGACACCGTTACGATACCGATTAATGTACCATAGGGACGCGCTGCTTACCCGAGCAGAAGTAAAGTTTCGACGTGCAACGTGTTTCGAACAAATATCTGAAGGAGGATTGACACCATATGTTACTCGCTCTCGTCGTTGATTATTTTCGACGAATAAAAATTTCGATTCACAGCGTCAGAGTTGCTGATTCATCAATTGCTGCAAAATTTGCGGTGCGCTACGAATTTTGTATATGGAAATTACAATGAAAACTTGAGATGCAGAGGGGATTGTGCCGATCAAGTTTTACGTATGGAAATGTGAATTTTCAGAAATATCGATTGTACAAAATTTACATTATAAGAAACGATGGAGAGGAGAATATAAATATACGTATTATTGTTACAACAAATGGTTAAACTCTTTTATTATTAATCTTTGGAAGAGTGGTGGGTTTTTTGAAACATTCAATCATTTTCTACTCATATTATATTCTTGTACATATCTTCTCGTATCATCGAAACATACTTTCATCTGTACGTACCGGTAATATTTTCAATTTCAATAATACCATAATTGAAGAAATTAAAATCCAAACTATAAATGTGACAGCTCTGATTATTAAAATATCGATTTCTATGCAAACTCATGTTTTTGTGAAAATGAACTAAAGAAATAGAGTATTAAGACATACATTTCATTTTATGAATATCTATATCATGAAAAAAATTTACAGAATACACACAGCGCGAAAAAATCGTGTGAAACATTCAAAGTATTGCAGGTCTGATTGCAATATGTAACAAGCGAAACGAATCCGTATTTGCGTTTTCATGAAATTGCAAATGCGGCATAAATATCCGCGTGACGTTGAACTTGAAAATATTTTACAAAATTTTCTCTGCCTCTCGGACGAATTAATTTTCGCCTGAACTTGTACGAAGCTCGACTTTTGCTCGTAGAAGCAAAGCGCAATACATCGACGATCCGGGTAATATTTTAAACGTACCCCGACCAGCGAATAGCATCGTGCATTCCTTCCATTCCTCGAGTCGACGTTCGAACAACCTGTAGGCCAGTACAAGTAGAGCCCATAACCGAGCCCATCATCCGCCTGTACACATATTCTTACGTTGACGTTGCTTGTTGAACGTGATCATTTTTCGGCCTTAAAGACAAAAAAAGGGAGGGAAAGGATCAGCGAGAATTGAATAAACGAAGGGGGGGAAAAGGACTCTTTCGTGGAAGAAGAAACGACGAAGAAACTGTGCGTCATGATTCGCATGATTGTTTTTTTCTTTAGTCCAGCATCCAACGAAAGAGCTCTCGTTGCGTGTAATATAATAAAAACTGTTCGCGATATGAATCGTTGCTTTCGGCGCATAAGCATAGGTATATATACGTGGTATGTTGTAAAATAATAGCGTGTGTACGATAACGTGTAGATTAAGCCTCAGGGACATGTAAATACGTTAAGCTGTAAGACGATTTGTCGTGTTAGTTTTTGCATTTGTGATCACACTGCCACTTTCTCCTCCATCTCCTTATCTCCTCCTCCTCCCCCCCCCCATCAACCAACCCCTCTCGTCCCTTGTAAATAAAATGTACTCTATCGTGTACTTGGGCAATAAATGTTAGACAATCGTAGTGTCGATATCTTTGATACCACGTTTCACGATTTGAGTTTCTTTCAGTTTTTCGTACTACGATAAACGAAGGATCTCTCTTCTCAATTGAATTTTGCAATCTTTCAAAAATACGTAAATAGCGCGTAAAAATTTTGAATTTTAACTTTGAGAAGTCCTTGAGAAGCGATGTGAGGTGGTTTAGTTCAGTTTTTTGGGAATTAATTTTGTGATGATTCTGTTTTCGGAATTGTATATTATATCATAAATCGATAATTCTTCTGTGTGCTATGTTATGCCGAATTTTGTGCTTCATTTAATGCTTTGTCAAAGGGTTTCAATAAATACGAAGATTAAGGAACGATTTTTGCTAATTTATGTTACATTAAGTACATTAAATGTTCTCAGAACTGTCATAATATGTCAAGAGTGACTGATTCTGTTATGCATTTGATAGATTATGTCGTATAATTAACGAAATTGTTACTAGACGTTATATAAATTAATTTTATCTTAGTACATACTTTCGTCTCTTGTTATCGCAATGAAAAATAATAGTTACTGTATAATAATTGTATCGGTATCTGGATCAACAAAATTTTACGCTATTGATATCATGCCATGTTAAATTACCATCACCACTATCTTTATCATCATTGATTAGTCAATGTTATCATAGATTCGATAAAGAATCATATACCTCGTCTGTGGTAAAGAACAAATTCTGAAATATCGACTATAATAAATATAGGAATTGCACACTGTATGCCATACGTAGTAGTAACTGACAAAAACGAAATTTCAGTCTTTATTTATTTCAACTATAATGTCAATCGTATGACATTAAAATCTTCTAATTTTTAATTTATATTGTACACAATTTTAAGTAGAGTTTCTAAATGATGAAAATATGTAATGATATATGCCTGTACTTACTGCAATAGGAACTTACTGCAATTCTCATACGAAGATTATTTAATTTTATCAAAAATATTTTGGATAATTCACAAGAAAAGATACCATACGATGATATCAGTAGAAATTGAATCGATTCTAGCGAGAGTTTGAGGAACATTCAGAGATTTTATCGGTAAAACTGGAATCAGGAGATTCAGACAACGGCTGGCAGAGGTCAGACACGGGCAGGCCAAACTCGTGCAGCGATTGATCGCGAGCAAACGTTCAGCACTTTCCGCCAGGCCCATACATAAATTAAACAGCGAAACTTCTCTCAGCTGTATTCATTTAACTTGCCGGCAATTTAAAATTGTTAGAACCGCCATTATTAGTCTTAACTTTGAATTTCAGAATTTCAATATAAATTAATTCCGTTTCTATTTTACGGTTCGATGATCGATATTTGGATTTACCACGGATATCGTGTACTGCCGTTCGCTAGAAATTCGTTAGTTTTCTAGCAAACTTCTCTCCCGTCTTAAAAATTTTACAAACAAACTTCGCCGAGTCTCTCGTTCGCTGCCAACTTCGGTTACTGAATTTTTTATGATCGCAACTACTTCGCTGAAATCGTTCCGTACGTAACTGGTAATTAAGTGTCTTATCAATTGGATTTTTCAGCTGGGGAATATTTCACTTTCCTTTTTTTTTTTTCAAAAGACTTGAGATGAAATTGAAAAATAAATTACAACGAAAAGAATACGAGGATAATTGTTGGAAAATTAGAGCAAACTTTGTCAAATTGCTGAACGCATTTTGATAATAAGATTGTTTCTTTTTCAAATATTCGTGTGTGACAAATTCGAAGATAGATTTCTTGTTCTTACATTATAATTGCTAAATGCGCATAACTTTAGTTATTATTTCAAAGTTGCGCGTAATACGTTTAAATGCAAATTAAAAATCAAACGTTCTGAATGTTGAATTCTAAAGAAAATATGATTAGGCACGGGAGCGATATAAAATATATAAAACGCAGCACTGGTTGTAAAACTGATCTCTGCCCAACTTCTTCGTTTCTTTGCTCGTATTATAAAAAAAAAACCATCTGCATTAAACATCCAACGTCTAATGATAAAC